AGTGCAACTCTGTTGTCATCGGTGTTCATACTTCTCTTTGTGAGCAGTGGAGTAATTTATTTTTGCAAATTTTAATGTTCACATTAGAGTGCGCATACTATCAACAAGCTCCTTCTTTTCACTGCAGAGGAGACAGAAGCTGCATCTGAAGTGGCAAGAGATGTATTTACACAGACTGTTTAATGAAGCTGAGGTGCCATAAATGCATTTACACCACAAAATTTCAAATGCATAAATAATTTTATAAGATTAATGTTTTAAATATTTTTTAACATACAAGCAAAAAATGTTGGGAAAAAATGCAATACTTTTAAATATGAAACCTGTTTTAATGAGCGAGTCATTAGTCATTCATTCAAACGGCTGATTCATTCAAAAACGAGGCAAGTGACTACAGTCTTTATGAATGGGTTACTGAATCATTGACTCACTTGATTTGTTCAAAAACGTGGATTCATTCAGTATCGAAACACCGCTGTGTCGCTCAGAAACAGTTCTGCTGTGGCTTTGATTGAAACTTTGTCAGCGAACTTGAGCAAAAACAGTCAATATTGCGAACAAATTGCTGTCTGTTTAACTCACAATGAAGAACTTCCACGCCGACGACATGGTTACATGCGGATGTGAGCGTATGCCATCAAAACGGACCGACTGTGAGATGAGGTGTGTTCGATTTGAAGCAGCAGCGAGCGCAGACCGATCGGACATCAAAGTACCGCGAGAGCGATTCGAAAGCATGCGGAGCCATCTGCTCTCTGTAGCTCTCTCGGTGCTTTGAAGTCATACAGCGATCGGTCTGCGAATTGCTGCTTCAAGTCGAACTGAGAAAGAAACTTTGGTCGAACACACTCCTGTCTACGAGCTTGCAATCTCTCTCTCTTTTCTGTCTATGGAGGGTCAGAAAACTCTCGGATTTCATCAAAAAAAATCTTAATTTGTGTTCCGAAGACGAACGAAGGTCTTACGGGTTTGAAACGACATGAGGGTGAGTAATTAATGATAGAATTTTTATTTTTGGGTGAACTATCCCTTTAAATGTTTCTCTCACTCCCTTCTGGCCCCCAGTTTGGACTTACAGTAAAAGTCTAACCATAATCTAAGTACTAAAATTCCTCCTTTAGTTAAAAATAGCATTTATTGAAACTAAGCTACAAATTACAGGTGAACATCCTCTGTGCTTCTCAGTTCAAGTCTCTGTAGAGCAAGTATAATTGGGTTTGTTAGCCATGGGGTTCGACAAGCTGACAAGACTCTAAATATATAACATGTACTACACAGATGTTTTGCATGTGATGTGGGACAGAAATAGCCATTTACTGAGCTGATAATGGCAGTGTGTAGTGGGGGGATGGCTGTGGAAACCCGAGGTTACAGAGCAGGGTTTGTACTGCCTCCTCAATGTTTTCTTTATTTCGTGCAATATTTGTATTCATTCATGTTATTTATAGTCCCCCTGCAAGCTGTGCTATGGCCTTTCCAGTCTTTCTTTGTTCAATGGCCCAGCCTCAAACTCTAACTGCTTTTCCCCCCATCTTTTTACAAGCTAATTTAACTCTTTAAGGAAAACTTTTTCTTGCTAATTTTATTTAAAGAGTTACAACAGCCAGAATTTCATTCTAATGTAATGTGTGTGTTTGTAGATACAATTAAAAAATAAATTAAATGAAATATAAAATTAAAAATAAAATAATGGACCAGCTGTGGATAAAGATAGGTTATTTTTCTTCCCATTAGTATTAGTGACACTGATATTTGTGTTGTACTCCTGCTTAAAAGTGCACTCAATAATCATCAAATAAATGTGCAATGTTAGCTTGCATACTGAGACAAACCCTCTTCCACATACTTTTCTTAATATTCCTGTGGGAGGATTTTAAAAGGCCATGCTAACATATAACAATGCAAAAATATGTTTTGCTTAAACTCATAAAATTCTATTAATTATAGCTTGGTAATTTACACAATGGCAATACATGTTAAAAATTAACAGGCTGTCCAGCAGGATATAAATAGAAAGCTAAAATCCCCATTGCTCAGTCAAGGTTTCAGTTTATATTATAGTGTCAACCTGAAGATATAAATAACAACCTTTCTGAAATTTTATATTATCATACAAATTTCTGTAATTTCAGCAAACAGGATGGAATGTTTTAAAGTGAGACTAACCAAGTAATACTATGAAACCACCACAGAATTCATAAAATCCAATGATAAAACTAGTTTTGTTAGTTAAAACTCATGCTACAAAAGACTAAAAGCATGGAAAGTAAAATGGCAACACCTGCTCAAACTAAAGTAGGCGTGAGCCCACAAAACTTTCGCATAAACACTACAGTTTAAAAGTTTGGGGTCAGTAAGATTTTTTTAAACCGAAATTTTATTCAGCAAGGATGCATTCAAATGATCAAAAGTGACAGAAAGATATTTATAATGTTACAAAAGATTTTCGGTTTCAAATAAATAATATAGCTGCAAGCAGCGATGGCGGGCCCAAGCCATCAGTGCAAACGCCACCCCAGTGGCATCAGGAGAACGGTGCACAGCGGGCACATGCATTTACAGTAACCCAGGGCTCGACGCTTACTTTTCTTTTTAGGAGCACTTGTGCTCCTAATTTAAAAAATTTAGGAGCACGTTCAAAATTTTAGGAGCACCTTCTAATCAATAATCCAAAATGTTATCAAAAAGTAGCCTTCCCATTACGAGGTAATATTTGACTCCTCTAACTTTATTAAAAGTATGTCATCTTTTGTCAAATTCTTTAAAAAAAATATATTTTATAAGCTTTTTAAAAATTGTAATTAAAACGACAGAATAAGAGTAGAATAAGAAATATAAGTTAAAAAGTTTCTCTCTCTCTCTCTCACCCTCCCCTTCTCTCACTCCCACTCTCAACACACAAACACTCACCCAGCCCCCCACCTCCTCCCTTCCTCACACAGGCATAGTGGCAGAGTGAGATCAGATGTCTTATAGTTTTTTAATTTTCTATTATCCAT